ATGGCGGCCACCGTATACGATTACCGTTACTAAATCCTGCGCAGTGGCATGCGCCTGGCGACATGAACTGGAGGATGGCCTAAAAAAAGAGAAAGAAAGGTGTGCAGGAAGAGGAGTATGCGTAGGAGGATGTGGAGGTAACCTAACAAATTTGCCTAGTGTCAAAGAGACGAAGAAGATGGCCATTGAAGAAAGCTAATATCTCAAAAGGACTTAAGTATCATATACAAAAAGCCATCCAACCTAGCTCCTAATGACATGAGAGCTGTAGAAGGAGATCTAGTAAGGGGAATAGGCTGAAGTAGAATAACGTTGAAGCGTAATGGCCGTAAGGGCATAAATCATTGCTATTGATGCAATTCAGACGGTAAAAACAAGGGAGTCAGAGCAAAACTTCCGAACTATTCAAACAGGGGTCAAAATGCATGTCATTGAAATAAATCTAGCATTGCTAAAAGGACCTTAGGTGGACAAATGGAAAGACAGACAGACGAAAAGACAAACGAAAGGAGATGGCAAACATATGGTCAGATGAACGGATAAAGTTAAATCATAGAAATTCATAGAAATTCATAGAAATTCATAGAAATTCATAGAAATTCATAGAAATTCATAGAAATTCATAGAAATTCATAGAAATTCATAGAAATTCATAGAAATTCATAGAAATTCATAGAAATTCATAGAAATTCATAGAAATTCATAGAAATTCATAGAAATTCATAGAAATTCATAGAAATTCATAGAAATTCATAGAAATTCATAGAAATTCATAGAAATTCATAGAAATTCATAGAAATTCATAGAAATTCATAGAAATTCATAGAAATTCATAGAAATTCATAGAAATTCATAGAAATTCATAGAAATTCATAGAAATTCATAGAAATTCATAGAAATTCATAGAAATTCATAGAAATTCATAGAAATTCATAGAAATTCATAGAAATTCATAGAAATTCATAGAAATTCATAGAAATTCATAGAAATTCATAAAAATTCAATAAGCATTACATTGAGGAGAGCGTTGTCAACAATACCAATGCGTTGCAGCTGTCAAAATGATAGGAAGGGGAAGCCACAAAGGTCATGGTTTCGTATAGAGAATAAGCTAAGTGACAGGTAGAAATCGTATCAGCGTCATTCCTTTATTGTCGTATCGTCATTTCTGATTTTAATAACTAGGTAAAAAAATACTCGTTCATTGTCGTTTATCCTCGTTTTTCATTGTCATACTCTTCGTTTATTGTCGTACATCATTAGCCAGCCAGTCGTTAGATATTAATAACAAGATAATAAAATACTCCTCGTTTGTTGTCGTACATCATCGTTAGTCTTCGTTGTTAAATATTAATAACAGAATATTAAAAATAAATACTCTTCGTTCATTATCGTACGTCCTCGTTAGTCATCGTCGTTGTCTAAAGAACTGGAGGATCTTCGTTTGATTGTCGTATTTGTCGTAAGTAACAGTCGTATTATTAACAAGGTAACAAAATACTCTTCGTTCTTTGTCGTACGTGATCGATAGTCATTGTTATACTCTTCGTTCATTGTCGTATATCATCGTTAGTCACAGTCGTTGGATATTAATAACAAGATAATAAAATACTCTTCGTTCGTTGTCGTACGTGATCGTTAGTTATTGTCATACTCATCGTTCATTGTTGTACATCGTTAGTCACAGTCGTTGGATATTAATAGGATCTTGAACACCAATGTTTTTTAAATGAAAAACGTGTAGTTCACTTTGGACAGTAGAGTGCTGGTGTGGACATTTAAGTAAAATTGGGGGAAAGTTATTTATAATAGGGTAAAGTCAACATTGAACTATGGGTTAGGAGGGCGTACGAGAAGTTCGCCTTGTATCATCGTTTTATCTCCCCTTATTAAATCGCTTTAGAACTTCTCGTATGCCCTCCTTACCCATTGTCCTAAGTTGACTTTACCCTATTACAAATAATTTTTCCCCATTTAAATTATTAGCAATATTTGTCCTATCTTTATTTAAATCACACCAGCACTTTACTGTCTAGAGTGAACTACACGTTTTCCATTTTAAAAGCATTGGTGTCCAAGATCCTATGTCTTTACTTTGTTCCAATAAAATCTTGTACACCCTTTTTAAATGGAAAACTTGTAGTTCACTCTGGACAGTCAAGTGCTCTGCTTTTAAGCGTAACCCGCCAGAGAATAAATTACAGTTCATCAAATTTCTAGAGGTGTTCGACGCCCAGACAGAGAACGCGCTACGTGTGACTAAGATAGCTATTGTACAGTCTGCTAAACAAGTTATTTTAAATAGTTTTTAATATTTTTAGGTAATTAAATTTTAAAAGTGTGGAATAGTTTAGGGATTAAATTGGTCTGATTGGACTTTCTTAGAACGTTTTTAAAAGCAGCTAAAGATAGTATGTAGAATTGAAAATAATTATTATGCCATAAAAGGTGTTTTGGAATTCCTTCAACCTTTTGAAATTGAGTCAGAAAATATAAATTTTATAGGATAGCGGAAAATACCTATAATTTTTTTGTAGGCCTTTGTAAATCGTGGAAATAGTTTATATTTTATTTCTACCTTATTAAGGAAAATGGTACCTATTATTAATAACGGTTGTTTCTGAAACATTACTAAAATTTTCGAAATTTTGTTTTTCTACAAAATAATAAACTATACTATTTAGAAAAAAATTTATTTCTCTTATAATTTTATAAAAAATAACAGGGGAATATTTACATTTCTTGATCTATTAAACAAAACGATAAATTATCTCGACGAATGACACCATGTTCTAGTACGGAAGCTAGCTTTACATTTTTGTTGGTGGTTTCATGGGTTTCATATCAATTTTTTGTAATTGTAGTTTACACGTACATATACCTCTTAACACTTGTTTGCTTTATTAAAAAAGTGTGTTGTTGTGATTTACGTCGAAATAAGTCAAAAACAACTTGAAACCCCATATAAAATCAAAAAGGAGAAACGGAAAAAAATTTAGCCTGTAAATAAACACAACTCAGAAACAAAAATAGCTATCTAATAATAAAAAAATAAAATTTGATTCGTGTGCATCTTCGTTGTAAAAATAGATAATACTTTTTTGATCTTAGGTACAGATATAATTTTAATGGTCTTCCGAAAAACTTTCTTCAGTTTCCATATCAGATTCAAAATCAGTCTCACTGTCACTGTTTAAGTTAATTATAAATCTATCAGTTGCCTCATCCAAAGTAACTTCTCTGTCATAAAATTTAGATTCCCACATTTTAGCATTATTACAACGAGATTGCCACTCCTCTTTAGAAAACGTATCAAAAAAGTCTTCACACAACAGTTGTACGTCTTGCCTCTTAAATGTAGTGTTGTTACTAGCTACATATTGTTTCAATGATGCCCACACTAATTCGATCGGATTAAGATCGGGATGATACGGTGGCAAACGCAAACAACTAAAACCATGTTCATTTATCATTTCTTCAATTGCATACCTCTTAAATCGTGACTTATGCAATAGCACTAAACTGTATAATTGCGTTTTGAGCATATCCTCTTCGTAAGCAATATTATGATTCCTTAACCAATCCTGCATGTCAGCTTTTTTTAGAAGTTGACGTTGGTGCTTTATTTACCTGGACATTATGGTAAGGAGCATTATCAACAATAATGACGCTTCTTGGAGGGAGGTTCGGAAACAGCTTTTCTTTCAACCATTTAGAAAAATTATTAAAATTCATTTCATCGTGGTAGTCTCCACTTTTGGTTCCAGATTTGAAAATTAACCGGGCATTCGGAATAAAGCCCATTTCACCTCCTGCATGGACAATAATTAGTCTATCACCATTATTAATTGGTTTCTTTAATCCCTCATTTGAATTATAACTCCAAGCTTTCTGGTGTGTGTGGGAGGCATGAATGTATGTTTCATCTAAGTAGACAATTGGACGGCCCTCTGCTCGATAACTTTTTAAACGAATTAGATAGTCTAAACGTAGCTTTTAAATATCAAACCTTTCCATTAATATTTTTCTGTCTGTTTTTGTTTTTTGCCAACGAAATCCTAGCGACTTTATTATTTTTCTTAAACTTTCATAGCTTCCTTTGTACCCTGTAGCTTCTCTAAATTTAGTCAGAATTGATTTTAATGTTGGAACAATATTTTCCGAGATTAACATGAACAGAATAATTCTTTTTAAAATACCTTTGTCAGCTTCATCTATATCATTAACTGTTTTTGGTTTTTTAATGGTTTTTCTTGGTGATGAAAATTCCGATATCTCACGGTTATCGATTCTTTTTTTCTCTCCAGAAATGCGGACGACAGTGTTTTTAGATACGCCTGTGGCTGCAGCAACACGATCATTTACATTTTTAAATGGTATTGAAGGTGTATTAAAGTTTCCTTCTCTTCTCATAAACTCTATAACATTGGCTATTATTTCGCGAGATTGACTGTTAATCACGCGGCCTCTTAATTTGCTATTAAACTCCATACTTAGGTTCTATTAAACTGTAATGAGCAAAAAACACAAACGAAAATAAAAGAAATGTTTTAGCGAAATTTACATCTGACATTTACGTCTGACTAAAATACTTAATGCGCAGAGTGTACTTTCATTGCGTAAATCCGTCGGCCCCGCCAACCGATGCCTCTCAGTAGTGCTTTCTCTGTCTAGCCGTCGAAAGCCTCTAGAAATTTGATGAACTGTAAAGGGATATGATTACTATATTATTAAAATATGCTACATCTGATTTTCTGATTGAAGCAGCCGGTTTCAGGTAGATTTTGAGTCAGAAATAGAAGAACGGTTGTCATTTACCAAATCCTGCACTTTATCAAAATAGCCTTAATTAAATTTCAAGCTTTTGGATATAATTTATTATAAAATATAATAAAAATTTTATTATTTAGTAGACATAAAAAAGTAAAATTTCTATTTCTTTTATAAATCTAGTAGGAATTTCAATTTGAGTTACCTATAATTAAAAAAAATGCACTTACCTAGCTTGTGGAGAATAAGAGTTGGTCCAGTTGAGAAACCCCATGATGGCGTGTGAGATTTGTATCGAACTGACAACTAATCTGATTTAAAAATACCCTATTTATAATTTAACCCTAATCCGATAAAAGTAGATTAAATCTGAATTAATCTCATTAAACTGTATGTATTTCAATTCGCCGATTTCCAAAATCAATAAAATACAGGAAGGAAATTTGGGACCTACATATACAGAGTGTCCCATCAGAAATTCAGGACCTTCTCTTCAGAGTGTCCCATCAGTGCGTAATTGACCGATAGAAAGCTCTTTTATTATTAAACAACATAAACTAATAAGTGGTAGAAAATCAAATTCAATAAAAAATTAATTGCTTAGGATTTTATTTTATGCATCTTACAAACACAAGAACTGAAAATATAAAAGTAATCAGGGTAGATATAATAAATTCTTTTAAATACCTGAAATAGTTCTGTTTTTTAAAATATTTAAATTAAAAATTTGGTGACTGTTTCTCGATCACCAATATTTTAGCTCTTAATTGAAATTAGAAATATTGGTGGGTGCATTGATATTATCCACCAAATTAAGTCATTAAAATGCTTTGAATTGACACCTATATCAACTGTTTAATTATATTAGTTCTGAAGATTTAAATAGTTTTGGATCGATACAAATTTTTATATTATTGTAATATTTTGAACAAATTAAAATTGTTTAAAAATACCAATTGAAAATATAATGTATTATTATGTAAATACCTAATATTAACATATTGGCTGTAATAAATTTTATTTAACACAAAAATCACTATATAACAGATATTTACAAGAAATTATATCTAATACAAAAAAATCATTACCGTTTCATGGCCATTGTCGTCTTCAAAAATAACATTATAAGTGTGTTTAAAAATAAATAAGTAATTTTACCATATTTAGATATAGATAATTTCCCTATGAATTGTGGAACAACAAAATTAATAAAACATCTTTCAAGTATGGCCCAAATTGGGCCTACACCTATAGGGATCTTGAAAGAATATAGAGAAACAGTTAATTGAGAAACTTTTGATTTTGTTTTTGAGTTATTTTAAAAAACTAAAAAGATACATTTTCGAAATTATGATGTACCTTTTTTATTGTTCACTATTTTGGCAGTCTGTAAAAATATGTTTGAAATATCTTTTTATTTTTTTATTTTATTTATTTTAATTTTTATTTATTAAATACACTGCTCTACAGGCTAAATGCCTAGTTATAGAGCAGGAAAAAAAATTGTAATTACAAAAGTAAATATAAATATAACATATTGCGCAATATGATATAACATAAATTACACAACATAACAAAAATTACATAATATAACAAAAATTACATAATATGACAAAAAATAAATAAATTAATAACTATACACGAGCAAATAGTACCGAAACAGCTTTACAATTTTTTGAGCTGCGAAAGCTTACAAGAAAATAAATCAATTCTACCTTGCAGGTTGTTGCAGTTTTCACACATAAAATACAACGGCGAGTTTTTTAATAAATTTGTCCGAAATAGCGGGAGATAAAACATTAAGTTGTTCCGAGATTCAATTCTTGGCACTTTAAATACAAGTTGTTCTAATAACTCGGAACAATCAATTTGGTAGTTAATAAGTTTATAGAGGAATATTAACGACTGATTTTTTCGTCTACATTCTAAGCTTTGCATTTCAAATCTATTTAAAAGTAACGTGTGATTTATCCCAATTGGTGGATATGTTCCGTCTATCTTAAATGTCAAGAATTTTAGATATCGTCTTTGAACGTTTTCAAGAGCGCTTATGTGAATATCATAAAATGGTTTTCATATTATTGGAGCACATTCTAATTTTGATTTGACGAACGCATTGTACAACATATTTATGGTTTCAATATAATTGAGGTCAACTGCATGCCTAGTGATAAATCCCAAATTTCTGAATGATACTTTTACCAAGTCATTTCGATGTTCATTAAAAGTAAGTTTTCTATCGAACTTTACCAAAGATCTATAACAAAATCATGCCTATTTAATATAACACCATCCAAACAGTTTAGTTATAGAGAATTGGAATATATTTTTTTGTATATTACATTTTTTTGAATTTAATGGAAGATTATTTATTAAACACCAATTATTTATTTTATTAAAATTAATTTGTAATTTAAGACAATCATTTAAGATATCTACATGATAAAAAAATTTGACATCGTCTGCATAAATACGTTAACGTCATTAATGATGTCATTTACGAATAGCATAAATAAAAGCGGTCCCAGAATTGAGCCTTGAGGTACGCCAGAGGTTACTAAGATATCGACAGACTCAAATCCACGCACTACAACAAACTGGGTTCTGTTTGTTAAGTAAGACTGAAGAAAATGTATGACAGGCTTGGACAATCCAAACTTGCTAAGCTTTTGAAGTAATATTTTATGATCCAGTTTGTCGAAAGCTTTAGAAAAATCTGTATATATTATGTCTATTTGACCGCCGCCATCAACTATTGTAGAACTGAGAATAGATTTGTTATTGTTGACCTGTTCTTACAAAAACCATGTTGTTCGTCCACTATCTGATGTTTGACGTGTGGTATTATATTATCGTATAGTAAAATTTCAAAAACTTTGGCAAAATTGCATATAATAGTGATGGGTCGATAGTTCTTGATACAATTGTTTTTACCTTTTTTAAAAACAGGACAGATTCTTGACCTTTTCCATGCATTAGGAAATGTACCAGTACGCAGTGACAAATTAAATATTTTATTTAAAGGAATAGCTAACGCATGGGAACAATCGCGAACCATGAAGGATGGTATATTATCTGGTCCCTTAGTAAATTTGGATTTTAACTTTAATATTGCCTTCGACACATCAGATTCTTTAAATTCAGCTATATGCACATGTAAATTATTTGATAAATCACTCTCAAAGCCAACATCAAAATTTGATGAATTACTGTAGGAATTTTTAAAGTAAGTAGCAAATCCATTTACAATATCCTGCATGTTTAAAAGATTTAAATCATCATAAGTCATAAATTCAGGTATTCCACCATCTTTCCTTTTAGAATTTACGTATGACCAAAAGTTCCCACTATTTCTTTTTATATTCTCTTGTAATGTTTTAACGTAGTCTTCATGTGCTTTCTCAACGTCCTTTTTAAATTTGGATCTTAGCTGTTTAAATTCTTCGAAGGCATTTAAATCATTATTGTGCCTAAACTTTTTTCGTGCTTTCTCTTTTTTTTAATATCTCTAATAATAGGTCCGTTGAACCATGTAGGGTATTTTTTTGCAGTTGGAACATATTTGGGAATACATATATCCATCATACCATGTAGTTGTTCATAAAATAACTTACGTGCAGTTTCAATATTAACCACATTATTGAGAAAATACCAGTCACATGAAGCTATTAGTTGATATAACATCATATAATTAGCTTTACGAAAGTTATATTGTAAATTTTTATTTACTGGATTAGGTTTACTACGAGGATTAGATATTTGAAAATTAATATTCAAATCAGAATGCGAGACATCTTCAGGGACCATCAAATTATATATCCTTTCAACAGTGCATGATTCATTACAAAAAACTAAGTCTAATAATCGATTTATTTATGTTAAATATATTATTATATTGTTTGAAATCGTGAAGATATACGAAAGCATTTAATTCAACTAGTTGACCAGTGAGAGGTGCCATATTAACATACTGGGGGGAACGTTAAAGTCTCCTAAAACAAATACTGTCTCGTAATCAACAAAATTTAAGGTGGAGAGACAATCAAATAAGGCTTCATAATCAACAACTTTAAGACTTGGAGGAATGTAAACAAGTAGTATTAATATTTTGTATATACAGGGTGGACCGGATTTAATTTGCGTATACAGAGATCTTGTAAACCGTAAGATATACATTGTCGATTAAATGGGGAAAAAGTTTCGTATTTTGACGGATAATACAATGGTCCATAGAATTCAGATTTTCTGACTGGTTCCAGAGATATTCGCTAAAATCCGAAAAACCTCATTTTCGTTTTTTAAGTCGTGCGTTGTTATTATAAAAGATACAAAAAAAAATTATACGAAGTTTTTGTTATAAATCAAGTTTCCTATAATCTGCCATGTCAAAATTTTTATTACGACGTTTCGTATTTCCAGGGCCACCTTCAACTTATTTTTTTAAATACGGACCTGGAATTTTAACTGTAATTTTTTATAGCTTTTGTATAGCTAAATACAACGATATGTTACACTTTACTATTTTACTACGTTTCGTCTATGAAAATATCATTTTTATCATGTTTTAGTATTTTCTTAAAATCCAATGAATAATGCTGAAAAACAGGATAAACCTGTTTTGAGTGACCCACTCTGTATATTAAAAATGGATAGATTTATCGAATTAGTTCATAGAACAAAATCTGCTTAAAAATGCATTTTTTACAAGATGCGCTACACAAAAAATATTTTGCCATCGAAAAAAACTTATTGAGCTCAATATACATTGATCTATTTAAAATCAATTTATATCTAAAACTGAATCTCCCTTAGTGTTCTGTGAACTGGCTTCTACAGAATTAAAGTATCTCAATTACTTACCAAATTATCCGGCCTAGGAGTTTTTATTGGTACACCCTGTATGTATCCAATTTTTTTTTGTTTAAACACCAAGTTCCGTACCGTATGTGGTGAACCACCTTATATAATTACTTTGAACTTCCTAGGTAACATGACAGCTCTCGCTACCTGGACATAGTATAACTTGTTCACCCCCTCCTCTACACCCAACTACAAAGAGCAGGCAAAAAAAATCGACGTGCCCCTTTTCGCAGTCATCAGAAGGACAATAATATTAAAGTATAATATGTTTTTAATATTTTTATATACAGAGTGACCCATTTAAAAGCGGTCCACCTTCATAGTTTTATTATTTATAGAGCGATTTTATCGTTTTTTTTTTTAGATGTGGAGGGGCAAAGATGTATTTTGGAACCAAGTGGCGTCCAATTTTTTTAAAAACCATCATATTCAGAGGCTAAAAT